GCTACAGATCAGCTGCGATACAGTGCGTAACAGCTGCAGTTCAAAACTCAATACGTAATCGAGTTCAAAACTGCAATACATCAGTCAGTTCGCTTGCCTTCAAACATTACTAGCCCGTAGCTCACTTAGTATCTCAGTAATCTCGGATGTATCCGGCAACTCTCAAGGTAGAACAAATTGGCAACTCCTATACACGCAAACCTCTTCCACCCCATCTGCCCGTAAGGCGCTACTCGCTGATTTCGCTTCTCATTCCAAAACGTGCGGCTCGCGATTCAGGAAACCATCCATAATTCTCTTCGTCCACCGCGCCCATTCTCTCGTCAAGGCCGCCACATAGGCTAGCCGCGGCACATGCTGCCAGTGCTTACCGAGCAATGCAATGGGAAATAGACTCAGGCATCAATATCTGCCTTATAAACTGAGATTGTTCATGCAGAACAGTATATTTATAAACATACGTATATATATCAGTGAATTTGTGTTTCTCGGACGCGCTTTTTTTCGCAAAACCCCCAAAAATTTTTGGTGGCTACTTTTTCATTTCCAGGGCTCTTTTTTCACGGCTTCCAGTGTCGACTTTTTTCCCAGGTTCTGTTTCCGTAAGAATATACACACAGAGCACAGTAGCTGAATACACCACTCGCCCGGGCTGTGCGTCTCGCTAACACAACACACACTACGTCACACACACACCCACACACACACACACACAACACACACACACACACACACACACAACACACACAACACACACTGACACTCACATCACACACACACACACACATACACACACACAGACACACCACAACACCACACTGACACTCACACACACACACACACATAACACACACATACACACACAAACACATACACACACACACGACACACACACACACACACACACACACACACACACACACACACACACACACCACACACACATCTACCCACCAATCTAGCAAGCTGCTACAGACAAAACAAAAGAACATTCAGTCAATATTCAAGACAGTTATTTATCAGACTGACAGACTAACATGATAATCACAACTCACAAGTCACAACCACAAATGTACCTTGAATAATGAATACATCACAGGTTCAGCTAAACACAGAACTCCAAACAAACTGGTTATCCGTTAACAGTGACTGACAAGAGGCAAAAATCTACTAATCTTGTAATTTAGAATTTATAGAAAGAATATAGTTTCTCATGTTTTGGCACCATTAAACAACTGAGTGGCAAGTTAGAAACTGGCAGTCAGCAAGATAAACAGATATGAGTATGACAGTAAGTAAACCTTTCCTTTTATATTACTTGATAATATGATTACTTCTAGCTAATTAATAATTATATCCCTACCAATGACTGATATTGGTAGTTCAGACCTCCAAGTCCTCCATTATCAATGTTGTAACTAGTAGAGTAACAAGTATTACTCTTACTCTACTACTGTCTCTTTTTCCTGATTATCTTAATCAGTCAGTGTTCAGATTATCTTAATGAGTCAGTGTTCTCTTCTTCCTGATAAACTTAATGAGTCAGTGGTTAGACTTTGTTCCTTTCAGTCCAGTAGTGTTCTCTACATCCTCATCTTAATCTGTGTTTTCACTTTCTTCTTCCAGATCGACGGATGGCTCTCCATCCTCAGATGCCTCTTCATCCTCAGCATCAGCGGCAGCGAGTCTGGGGCCATATGTCTCCAAACAGTGACGCCTGCTCTGCTTTCCTGCTTTAACCCATTTGGTTACTGCCGAGCTAGAGCGGTACACTTCCTCCGATGGCCCCTCTAAAGATATCATCATGAGGTCATCTAGGGTTGAAGTATGTAGCTTCACCCTTCAGTCGGTTTTGATCCGATTCATCAGTGAGAAACCTCGTTCAACAGTTGCTGTAGCGAGTGGCAAGACTTGCAAGATCTCTATGACATGAAAAACGTTTGTGAAGTCATTCTGCCTGTTGAGGAATAAAGTTCCCCAGAACTTCTTCCATGATACTCCAGGTTTGTAGTAGATGTGGAGAACCTTCTTCAGACGGAGCCACTCTGCTATAGCTGCATCAGGATTACAGCCATTTGCCACAAGGGCAGCCTCGAAGTGATCCTCACGTCGTCATCAACCTTACAGCCCAAGTCCTTCAGGTCCTCCGGCCAGGTCTTAGGATTCAGTGACTGGACTGCTGACAAGAGCTCATCATCCCTGAAAGTGGAAAACCTCTGCTCCAGGCAGTTGATGAGTGGCTGGATGTGATGTGGTCGAGAAGCAAGAAACTGAGCATGTCCAGTTTCAAATCCAGTCAAAGCAAGACTGCGGTAGCTTCCTTCACTGCACTGCCTCTTCACAGACTGAAGCTTGGGTCCATGCTTGTTGCACATGTCATGAAGAATCTCTTCTGTTGTTCTTACCACTTCTATCACATCAGCTAGGCAAATGTCCTCTTTCTGAAACACAAGGGACACTTGCGAAGGTTCCTGCAAAATGTCAATGTACATGGCCATGTACAGCACAAACTTGTAGGAGCACATCTTTTTCACCATGCCCCTAGCTTTGACAGCATCTTCTTTCCTGACGTCGCTTCTCTGCTCACTTCCGATCTTCGTAAAATGTGCTGCCACCGCAACGTAGTTCCTCTCCAGGGCCTGGAGATCCCTTTGCTTGTGGTCAACCCACCTGGTTCCATCAGTGCGGGTTGGCCTGATGATGCTTTCATCCAAGAGCTCCACCATTGCTGTTAGCTCTCTAAGACGCTTTGGATATCTTCGATAAATCGCAGACTACATCGTCAAGAAAGCATCAATCTGAAGAAAAAAAACAGGAGAAAAGGAATTTTGGGAAATATGTTAGATCTTTAACAATTACACCATGGATTCAGTAATAAAATTTGCTACATATTATATTCAACATGTGTTTACTTAAAAAAGTAGATTTTCTTTCTCAAATTATTTGATTAAATAGTTAAAAAGGAAACTTAAAAAATGATATATGGCGATGAGATCAATGTCATATCAAATTGGGAAGGAAAACAAATGATTATATTGATTAATAATTATTCCCTTTCTAATTTTTAAAACCATAACTTTAATATGCTTAAAATTACACATTTTAAAATTTCTCCCCTATACTAATTAGTAAGGAACACTAGCTTGTGTGATGTTGATGTGCGATGTGTGATGTCAGTGAAATGGTATGTATTTTTTAAATACACATTGTGAGTAAAAAAAAAAATAGAAAGTCAATGCTGTGAGACTGACATATCTGACCAACAGAAATAAAATGCTACTTGAAAATTAGTGCTGTATATCTAACATCTTTAGTGAAGAATGTGCCCATGAAGGCATCCTTGGCTGATAAGTCTAGTCTATGGGCGATACAATGGACCCCCATAAGCCATGGCATTTCCGTTTGAAGCTGAGAGATAACGCCTTCCCTGCAGCCAAAGTTCACACTGGCACCATCCGCGCTGACCCCCACAATATTCTTCTTCATGTCCAAGATGGTGGAAGAATAAGTTGTCAATGGCATCCAGTACCCCTTCAGCTCTAGCATTGCTAACATCCTTAATGCTGAAATAACAAATCAAAAGATTAAACAGAATTTTAAAATTATTAATTTTAAAATTTTAAAATTAGTTTTAAGAATTGCATTGATTATTCATCATGATATGTTCTATGATCAGGACACAAAATGTAATTTAGAAATAGCATGTACTGATGTCATATATCTGAGCATGAAAATGAAAGTTATTCTACTAGTCGGTGACTAATCCGTGACTAGTGTGGAGTTTTGGTTTTTGCAGGCCACTTTTTTCTCCTCTTAGCAGCATCTTACTCAATCTCATCTTTTTCTGGGGTGTCTGTAAGAATTCTGGTTCTCCCTGGTTTTCTACCAGCCTTTCTCTTTCTTTGTTCAGCTTTTTTCTGGAGTGATGACCAGCAATAGGAGTTGAGGCGATAGGACCAACAATAGGAGTCAACTGCTTCAGCTGCAAGGGGTCGGTCGGTGACATCTGAGGGCAAATACTCGTCATCTCCAAAAATGTTACGGTCAAAGGGGGTAGACGCCACTAACCCTGAAACCAGACTGGTTGTTGGTGGGTATCATGGCCCTAGGAAACGCCTTTCTTACCAGAGCTGGAATATCATAAATTGTCATCGTCTTCCCCTTGTTTTCGGTAATCCATCCATCACAAGCTGAATTGTAGTACCTCTTAAAGGGGCCAAACTCAGACCTGTCTAACGGCTGCAATTTAATAGAACAGTGTGGGGAACGAAAGCATCACTATGCCATTTTCTTTTGCATAATCCAGTGCCTCAATGCTGATATGGAAGTCATGATTGTCCAGAAGTAATAAAACCTAGTTATCAGGAGAACAACGGACATGTGCGACAAAGTGTTTCATGAACTGAAGGAAGTGGAACTCAGTCACGCATCCTGGTGGATGAGCTGCACCAACTGTGCCAGGTGGTGCTCCATTAATGAAGTGATCCTTGAAGTGAACACGAGGAAATATAATCATTGGGGGGACAGTATTTCCTGTTGCACTAACAGCACAACACAGGGTGACCAGTTGCCCTCTCTCTGCGGAAACAATTGCACCAACTTGTTTGACATCAGTCTTTGCAATTACTTTCAGGCTTTTGGACGGTAGTACATCCAGTTTCGTCCAAGTTCGAGATCTTTTCTGGGGTGAAACCTTTCTTCCGATAACCAACTGCAGGTTATCGAAGAATTTGCCAACATTGTGCTTATTAAAACTAGTGGCACGACTCAGGGATGTTGCCTCAGGGCTCTCAAAGAAATCTCTGCATGTCTCTTCATGAATCCTTGTAGTCAGTCCTTACCAGCTTTCTCGTTCTCAATTCATGATGGTGGCATTTCCACACCTAGTCTATTGGCATACGCATCAGCTAGTTTTCTAGTTTCATCCATGGATAATCCATAATACAATCCAGAAGCCTTTAGGAGGTAATTGACAAGCAAGTTTTCCTGCTCAGCATTAAACACAGCACGATTGTTGAAATATCCGACGCGTGGTATGGCCACATTAGCGTTTGGAACATTGTCCAGAATGTCCTGGTTATTTGCATTGCCGTGATTGTCGGCATTGTTCTGGTTATCAACATTGTTACTGTTATTGAGACGATCCTTCTCGCCACGCATCTTGAAAACATACCTTCGCAGGGTGACAGGGGGTATTTCGAACTCACTTGCTACAGTACGACAAGGCCTTTAATTTATAAGGACTTCTGTTACTGCCTTTTCCATGATATCAGCTGGGGTCTGGCCAAGATTTGTCTTTTACTTATAATTCCGCATGGCTGAAAATATAAAAAAAAACTGCCATATATACTGCATTGTTGGTTTTTCAATGTCGGGGTTAGTTGGAACAGTGTTCCAAATAACCCCACCCCCAATGTTCCAACTAACCCCGAGCAGCCATTTTACAGTTGCATGCAGACCACACAAATCTTTACTTTGGGAAACACATTTATTTGGTCTCAAATTGTGTCTAAGTTCTAGTGTTTGAAGTGTGCAGAAACAATTGGCATTCCTGTATTGACACTGTTATGATATAGCAACTTTTCTTTGTGGTGGAAAATTTTATCTTCGAGTCAAAAATCATACAAACCGTTCTCCTATAGACAGCTTTGCTTCCTTCTTTATGACACAAATATGGTGGATGGATGTTGTTGTTGTCTTCTCTTAGATGGCAGCACCTCACGGCTGCAGTTATTACTTTGTCTGGAAATTTGCTAATTTTGAAAAAAATTGCTAAACTGGCAAAATTTGGTGTAGCATAATTATAATGAAAAAGAAACTAACCTACCTAATTCCTGCACGACTCAGGCCTTTCTCAAACTGTTTCTAGTGCTCTCGCAGCTGCTCTGTGCATCAAATGCTCAATTTCATGATGGAGGAATGTAGGTGGTGCTCCTCCCTCAACCAAGCTCAAACTTATAAACAAACGTTGATTTTTAGTGAACCTTATCAATTCAACAACCGGGTACTTTTTTCCAAGGTCAGTAATTTAACAATGTTTTTAATGTCTTTTTATTTGCCTAATCTAATGGTTTTGAATTTGTAAAATCTGATGATTCCGGTGTTTCCTTGGTTTCACCCACTCCCTCATTCTCCATTACCTTTACACATAAACATAATATTAAGAAGGTACGTTGTCAAGTTACTTGCAATCAAGCCAATATGGTAATACAGGCGTCTTGCCAACCAAGACTGATTTTCCAGGAAGACGAGGCGATCATCTTCCGCAGCCATCATGTTGGCTTTAACATGCTGCAGGAATTTTGCAAAAAATTCACTGCGAGGTTTTCCTGAAAATGAGGATCAACTTTGAATGCAGATCAGTAAAATGCCTAAACTATTTGTAACATGTAAAATGAGTTTAAAGTCATTGATGATTAAAGAGAAGTTCCCGCCTAGGCATAACAAGTTGTTTCCTTAAAGTGTAATAGGCTTGGGATATATTTTGTTTTGATATTATTTGCCCTTTATGCCAAAAACTTGGAACTAAAATCGTTCATGAATGCATTCTTAGCTAGTAGGTGACGTACACAATTTAAATAAAACTGTACCAAAATCAGCAGCCATTTCACCGTAGAACGACACATTTAGAGGATTCCTTATATTCTCCATATAAGAAATGTTTTCTACTGTGGTGTCGAAAATGTTCTCTCGAGACACCAGTAAAAGACAATTGAAGTGAAATTTTCTAACTTCTGTAACGTTTTTATACATATAAATACATTCAATAACGTATTCCATTTCAAATCCGGCGCCCAATTAGTAATAAACACCTGAATAGTAAACTAGGTCATAGGACGTCACGGCCCCAAGTTGAGCGACGCCATTATGTAAACACAGTGTGTGTGGTGTATAAGATGGAAACAGAAAGCGATAATTTCAATGATTCTTGTGATTACTCAGATGATGATGATATTTATAGTGAGTTACCAGTTGGATATAGGTTGACTATGCACAATATGAAATTGAGGAGAATTGTCTGAAAAAGCAACTGCTTTTTGAGCAAAAAGGTGTTTGCAGGATTAATTTTCCATTTCGAAGAGATAGACCCTGTCTACAACCACTCCAAATTTCATGAGGATATCTTTTGTCAGGTTTTTTCAAAAACCTGACATGAAGATCGAGCATTAGGACAAAAACGTCATTTTGAGAAAAACGCAAATAATGTATCTTAATTGATGGACCGTTATTACCCTAATTTTGGCCCTTCACTCTACCAAAGGGTTCTAATATGCCCCAGCTTCATACACAGGGTCCTTTTCAGCAGCACGGGACACTCTTTTTCTTTCTGGCCTCCTTTGAAGTGGGAGTCCATTGTTCTTTAGCCGATTTGATGCGTCCTCGATCCAGAGACTTTGCAGTCTCTACCAGGTAATGTCCACACCGCAGCCCTAACTCACGAAAGGTTGGAAGCCGTCCCAGTTCCCCCTCATTATACACAGTTACTGCTTTTAACATGGCTATCTCAAGCCTGGATCTGCCCACAAATGTTGTTTTGGGGCATCTTGCCCAAATGAGGTTGTGGAGCGACTCATTCGAATTCTGCGTGCCACCATGGCACGCTTGTTGAGAAGTTCAGCTGTACAGAAGTTCAGGTTTAATAGCTTGCAACACATGCTGTGGTAGTGCATGTCTGTTGGCTCTCTCAGTATCCTTCTCCTCACTAACTAAAGCATTGTTCCCCTTTGTCAAAATTTTGACAAGGAATGGTCTTTGCCCCTGTGGCGCCAAATTGGCCATATTTTTTATGATGATGATGATGGTATTTTTTAAATTTTTGTTTATTTCCAGATGTTGTAACGGGTCAAGTCTTTACGCCATGTTTACTCCGAATGCCTTTAGTACAACGCCATGCATTATGGGACTGACGGGTACATGTAAATACCGGAATCACTCTGTACAATGAAACGAAACTACAAGCATACGTTTACACAGTATATCAACACTACTTACTGCCAGTCTGCTAGGAACTCTTGCCCACGGTTGTCATGCCCCAATGAGTCCAGGACTCCCAACGTGAGGGCATCCACGTTAGCAACGAGCATGGCCCAGTGGCATGGAGAGTGCACGGGCATCAGAATGTACTTGTAGCTTGCAAAGCAAACCTATGGAAGAGAATAATAACCCATACGCTGATAAGAGCTTGCATTGCAATAAATGAAGTAATTTGCACAATGTGAATGCTTAGTAATTGCTACTAATTACCTCAGCCCAACGGAGTTGGAGGAGGTTATGTTTTCGCTCTCGTGTGTTCGTGTGTTTGTGTGTTCGCGCGATCGATATTAGCCAGCCAGCCAGCGAGTCAGCAAGCCGCAGCGTATGGCGTATGTCGCTGGTGGAGGTATGCACTCCGTGAGTGCACTCTGTCTAGTTGTTATATGTTCCTAATCCCAGGAGCGATATAAACACGCAACTGTAATAACTGCTCGCTGGTCAGGCATTTATTCTCACAGCCCCGACCCCACAATGCAACTGTTTGAACATAACAATTAGAG